GCTATATTTTCTTAATACAAAGTCAAAGCTTCATAGGATACTCATTGCATAGTTTGAGATCAACCTTGTAGAGAATTTATGGAGATATATTGACTTTTCATTGAGGACTGTGAGCTATTTATTAACCTAACTTATGACATTACAGAAATGCATTCATCGACAGTCACTGATCACCTAATATACTGGTACTAGGCACATTGCTTCCAATAAAACATCTGTCCTGGATCATAACCAGATGCATGAATTAACATTGAGGAGAAACAGGATTGAGCTATGTCAATAAAATAAACCAGGAAAATTCCCATGTCTAAGATTCTAACTATTTTTTATTTACTAGCTTCCTTGGATATAAGCTCCCTCAGAATAAAGTTTTTTTCTATGACATTGAAACTAGTTGTTGCACCTAAAATGGCACTTGGAACATAATAAATAAACAATCAAAAAGATTTATAGGAATGAAGGGAGAAAAGGAGTAAAGAAAGGAAGGAGAGTAGGAGTAAAAAGCAGGAAGGAGGAACGGAGAGATGGAAAGAAATAACTTAAACCATTGCGTTTTCCAGAGTCTATGGGGAGTAACAGTACTTTACATGTTCAACAGCTCCCTTCAAACTCAGGAAAAAGTGAGAAATAGAGTTTTTTCAGTAGACTGCCAAAAAAGTGTCCATTTGCCTTCTTGGGGGTACACTGATCCAGCACAGAAATAACCCAGATGGACGTAGTAGAGCCTTTACTCATGATAGAGTCATAGCAATTCTCTCTCAAGCATATGTAAAAAGAACTTCATCTTTGAGGCATTTCAGAAATGAGTTATTTTTCAAAACATCTCTTATAGGCATAAGATGTGTTGTTATTTTCATTGCTGGAAGAGATATTGAAACAGAATGGCTAAGTGACTTATCCAAGACTCCAAATTAAAACTGGTAAATTGCAGAACCAGCTAGTCATCAATTCTTTAAGTCATTGTTCTTCAGATATTTAGGCCATTCTGAAATTAAAAGAAAAAAGCTCCATTATTTTAGAAATTATAATCTGCTATCCAGTATAAAATATGATCTACTGTCTTTATTCTCAGGAAAAGGTCCATGACCTCAACTTAACTTCACAGACAAGCTGAAAATATAATGGAAGAAATTATTCCTGACTTTTCAAGTGGAGCTTCAACTAAAGACATATGCCAGTGGTGGATATAAACGAAGATGCCTCCAAGCAAAGAATGTTTTCTCTTTCTGGTGATTCTATTAAGACAGTAGGGTCCTAATAACAGTAAATCTGGTGCAGAGGAATCTATAAAACTATGTATATGGGAGCATCCTGTGACTATGAGAGATAAAAGATTATATTTCATTTGCATGGTTTGCTGGGTTTTATTTGGCAGATACAATAACACAGGCTACACAGAGCCCATAAAACAAAGTGAGAACAGCAGCTCATTTGGTGGCAGAATGTAATGGTTATGGCTAAAGGGCTTACATAATTCATCTCAAACCCTTATGCCTATATTTAGTGTTGTTTAAATGAAAAACAAACTTGTGGCCATAAGGAGGGATTTGGTCAGAAATGTGATTGAGATTTTTTTTTTTTTGGTATATATCTGCTGAGATTATTAATCTACATCAGTTAAAACAGCTACACAAATATCCAAGAATAAGCATACCTTACCTCAGCATATTAGTGCTCATGTCTCCAACTTTGCTTCTCTAAACAATTCTAAACCACCCACAGAATCAGAGTTAGTGAAGAGAGAGGCCCTGTTCTTTATTTTGACTTGAAATTCCTAGTAAAACTCAGAGAAGACTCCCGAAGAATCCTAAGCCATGGTTAAGAGATAATGTTTAGTATTCAGATGATGTTCAGTACGAGATAATACTTTGAGAGAGGCTGAGAGGGGGTGAATCAAAAGAAGGATTGAGGCATGTGATATTGGCTTAAACCATTTTACACAAGTATAGCAGCTTTTAATATTCTTAAAAGTATTTATCACATAATATTTCTAAAAGATTTAAAAATCAATTATTGTTAATCATTTAATTCTTGTTATATTGTAAGAGTTAAAAACTTCGTGTCTCAATTGTAAATGTTCAATACTGAATTTTGCTGTTTTAGGTGGGAAATTTTTTTTTTTTTTTTTAAGAATCAGACCTGGAATATAGTTGGTAAAGAGAAATCTGCACCATAATGTCAAAGGTACATCCGAATGAGTTGAAAACATCAGTGATTATCACACCAATTTAGTGACAAAACAGATCTGTAAAATAACACATTTTTACTTCCAGGTGATCACATGAAGTTAACCTATCTAATGCCAATATATAAATACAAATTTTGTAATGTTTAAAATTGCTTGCCTTTCAATAAGACAGGAATGTTTAATATTTCTAGGCCATTATAATATTTGTACTTAAAGTAGCCTTGGAAATAAAGGATTAAACTATCTCTTAATCACCTTTAGACAACCACCAAACTCTTTTTATAAAAGACAAGTAGGTATAAAAATAAATAAAAATGTATGGCTTAAACTTTATCTACCAAGAGCAAGCCACTACCTTGGAAACTGGATTATCCCTCTTGATTTTAGAAATTCTTTATTATTTTTAGGTAAATCAATATGGATATTAAAGTGATTAGCTCTAGCTTTCCAAATTTGAAATTTTTATTCCATTTATGTTGTTACTTTAAACATACTTGAGCCAATCTGGAGGGGAAACAAAATGTATATATGAAAAAAAAAAAAAGCTTATTTTAAACTACTGTTAACTGTAAGTAAATAATTTATTTTCTAAGTAGTGGCATAATTGACAGACTATGTCTTGCTTTGGTAGAAAGCCCAATTTGTGTGTGTGTGTGTGTGTGTGTGTGAAAAAGAGAGAATAGCTTTAATTGCATATTCCTCAAGAGTCCGCTATAAACAGACACAAACACACACACACAACAACAACACACACACAACAACAACACACACACATTGAAGGAATATCTAAAAAATTGGATAGTATATATTTTCACTGTTATTGTTATAAATGCAGTAGTGTAACCTTATGTATTTATTCTTGCCAGGAAGAAGTTTCACTGCTAATCCACATTCATTTCTCAATCAGCTGATTTTCATACCTTTCCAGTGACTGCAGGGAAAATCAGACAAATGGAAAGAACAACCAAAGGGCAAGCTAACAATGATTAAGAGAATTTTGGAATTCAGAGAGAGAAGAAAATAGGATAAGAGAATGAAGAGAACCAAATTAAAAAAAGACAAAATTTTAGGGGAAAAAACAATTATATAATTGTTCAGTAATTCACTTTTTTCCCAATCCATAATTTTCTAATATTGTAAGTAATACCAAAAATAAATCTTCCTTCACTAACTTAAAAACAAAACAACTCATGCCTTGTAAACACAAATATTCAAATTTTAAAATCTTAATAGCCAAAGGGGTCTAGCTACCTTTTAAGATTGCCACTCCACTAAGAAATGTATGTGAACTTTTGAAGTAAGAGAAAAGCATGTAAGAAAATGAAAACCAAAAAAATTTCTTTTTCTTTTAGAGATATTCTACCATGAAGAAACATTCCTTTCTGAACTGCCTGTTATCAAGCAAGTGCATATTAGTTTGTCAGAGTGAATGGCCAGATTTTGTTATCCTAAATCAGTGAGATTTATGTTTTCCCCTTACCTCTATACCATGTGCCTTCAAACCTCACCTCTACCACAACTATTTTTTCTTTAAGTGTTTTTTTTACATTCAAGTTCTTAAAGCATATTATTATTATTATTTTTTAGTATTGCAATCTCCACTAGTCCTTATTTTCACTCAAAATTACAATACAGGGGACTATGGCCAATGCTATGCAGATGGCCAAATAGATAATAAAGACTCAGTTCATGAATAATATCCACTCAGAAAGAGGACAAAAGCAACAGGAAAAAAGAGTCCAAATTGGACAAAATGTGCGTGCTATATTTAAAAAAAGCACACCCGCGATCATTGTCAGAGATCATTAAGGGTGCCCTGTAGTTTTAATGATATGCCAGTGGCACCAATTTGATCTGACTGTTTGCTCTTATAGTCAATAAAAAAAGTCATAACTGCCATCAAATTTAAATTTAATTTATTTTCCACACAGCCCTTTCTGTTTTCCTTTTTTTTTTTCTTTTATAACATTAACACTTTTTTTGTTAAAAAATGTGTGAAAGATTAATTTGTAGAATGAGGGGAGCTGTGGGTGCACAGCACAGGACAGATGGCGTGGGTGGGACATGACAGTTTTCGTCTGTGGCATCATTTTGTTGTTGCTATTGCAAGTGAGCAAAATAAAGCTACTGCTACCACAATCTTTTCTTTGGGGACTCTCTCTGACAAGGTGTGTTCTTTCCTCACACAGAGCCCTGATGCCTAGGGGGGCAGCAGACTCTTTATGACCAGCATAGACCAGAGTAGGTCAGCCTGAGAGCACTTTAATTTTAAAATTGCATTTATGACAAAATTTCACCCAACTTTTGCATAAAACAATGTACTCTATCTTGGTAAGCTGAGTATTTTAAAATGCAGTAATGATTTGTCCTCTCTCAGATCCTGTGTGTAGATCCAAACATATGAAACCATAGATGAAAACAATTTTTTAAAAGAGGAATGATTTTTTTAAAAGATTTTCTTGTTGATTTTTGCATATCAGTCAAAATTCTACTTACATTAAAGGGGAAAAAGAAATGGTACAGGTTTATATTCAAAGCTTCGACTTTTGCCTTGGAACAACCATAATTTACACATAAGTATTGTAGGAGTTCCCTATTCTAAAGATTCTTATTGAAAAATAAAGCAATTACCACAGAAAATCACTGTCATATGGCACACACAGACATTCCGAGAAAAAGTAAAACTTTGAGAAGGGAAATTCAGGACAGCGTGTGGGAGGGAAGATTCAAGTTCTTTTTATGCACAAAGAGATCCATTAACAATATCTTTATGAGTTTCATTCTTCCTTTTTTACTGAACTAATTTTCAGTACCCAGAATATGTGAACGTGACTGCAAATAAATGATTTGGGGAAGAGGGCTGCAGTAAATAAGTGAGTATATGTAAAAACAGTTGGTGGTTAATTTGAGACAAAATAAGATTTGACTGAAGAAAAAATTCCACAAAACCTTAGTCTTAAACTAGTGCTTCTTTCACATAGGGAGGCGAGACAGACCACGAAAGGATGATAACAACCACAGAGTTGAACACAGAATTCATCTAGACTCATGAGCCTGTTTCAGTCTTGAGATCTTCGGTATTCTGGTGGGTAGTGTATTCAGTATCCAGTCATTTCATATGATCGTGTTATTTCCCCAATTAGACTGTAGGTTTTCCAGAAAGGAATTGTCCTTCATAAAGCAGTGCTCCACAATGGGTTTTGTTGACACACCAGCACTAAAATGATGACAGATATAGTGAGTGGCCATGTTGGAGGCAGCACAACAGAGTGATTAAAAACAAGGACTTTGAAGGCAGAAAGTTTGCTGTGGATATCAGGCTATGCAACTGTAATTATAACCAAGTTACTTTAGCAATTGTTCAAGCTTCTCCACCTCTGTGAAAAGGATGACAACAAAGTGTGACTTTCCTTGCAGGGCTAGCAGGGAATTAAAAAAAAAATAGTCCTTTGTAAAGTAATTAAGCTGCCTGGCAGGTAGTTAATTAGCCCTAGTTTTCTAGAAGTCACTTTTTTGGGACTTTCCCAACACCCACAGGCACTCAAAACCCCAAATTTTGGGTATGAAACATTTCTTCTTCTGGTTCGCTAGAGGTGGAATGAGCAAATACAATGTTGGATATACATCTGCAGATCAGGAATGAGTAAGGATAGATACAAATTTTAAAACCATATACACAGTTACAGAAGAGGGTTCTTTGATATTATAAGGAATAGAGGGAAAATCTAGTATACACACTGTAGGGTAAATGAAGATTTTTCAGGCTTTTACACCATTGGCCTCTGTGGCTATTGCCTGTGGTCTTGAATGCAGGAGGCTCTTGGGAGCTCAGGCACAGGGTACACGTGACTGATGTTGGACACCTGGAGTGTGATGTGGGTGTGCGTGAGTGTGCACACCTGAGCCTGGAGGCTGAGCATATAAGGGCAGCGTCACAGAGGATGGAGGGTGGTAGAGGGCAGTGTGGCAGAGAGCGGCGGGCAGTGGCGGAATGATTTTGAGAGGAAGCGTCCACAAGACGATGCCAGAGAGCCCAAAGATTTGGTGGGGGGCTGGGATGCCTGCCAGCCTCCTGCCACCACTCCCCCCTGCCCCCCTGCCTGCCCTGCACCTGGTTGCCTCACTACAAATGGTGTAGAAAGATCATTAAAAGCCTGAAAATACCACGGAGGGCTCCAGGACTCTCCTTTACCCGTCTGCCCGGATCCGTAGAGAACCTGCCCTGAGCTTGCTTACACACACACACACACAGTTTATGTGTCCATAAAATAGAGTGCCCAGAAGGATGCATATCACATATCTAATTTAAAGAGAGTTATCCATTTGATAATTATTTGTTCTATTAGAATGTCTCCATGATTCAGTATCTGTAATGGGCATTATAGAAATGGAGTCTAAGTTCTTACTGTTCAAGACAGTACGTCTTTTAACTCCTTTCCTTTTATCTCCTTCTACTGCCCAGGATATGGATATAATGACTGGAACTTGGGCTGACATATGGACCCCAAGAATGAGAGCCACACTAGGGAGGCTTGAAGCAGTGAGCTAGAAGCTTCTGAACTGAATGGCTTCCTAAATTAATTGTTCCAGACCAAAACTGCTTACTCTTGACTTTGTTGCTGTCTCTTACACCCTCCCCCTGAACTTCTGGCCTACACCCCAGCTCTTATATGAATAAATAAATAAATAGTTTTAATAAAGTATTAAAAAATGAAAAGACTTTCAATTGGTTTCTGTTTATTTCAAAGAAATCCTCATTTAAGATTGGTGGATTTAAGATTAATGGGATTATACATTAAAATTATTTGTCATGGGGCCTCCCTGGTGGTGCAAGGGGTTAAGTCTCAGCTCTATGAAGTTACCTGGCAGCCAGTGCAGCACGAGTTCTATCCCAATCCCTGGCCAGGGAGCTGACCCACATGGCGTAGCAGACCTCTTCTGTCTCATCCACTGCTCCCCTCAGCAGTGTTTTTCAGTTAATCTGCCTGTTCTGCTCCCCACTCTGTTTCTGCCCAATCCTCTCAGCCCCTCTTCCCCTCCCACTCCTCCACTCTCTGGCCTACACCCCAACTCTTGTGTGCATAAATAAATAAATCTTTAAAAAATTACTTGTTACATGTGAGAAAAATATGATACATAGTATATACTCAAATAGCTTTTTTAATTAAATGGAAGGAGTATGTAGGGTATATTTGAGATCAGTTTCCTATGGGGGTGTGGTGGGGGAGGCTTCCCCACACTGCAAACCATACTTGAACACTAGCAGTGTGTCAGAGAATTCAACTCAATTCTGACACTATCTAGAGACTGCTTTCCACTTCAGTTTCTGGCTGTAAATCCAGGCTGTCACCTGCACTTCCCATGAGTCTCTCCTCAGACTTCAGGTACCCATTACAAGCCCAGAATATTATTTGTGCTTCTTAACAACTGGCTATAAATCAGAGATTCCCATGAACCCCTCCTTACTTTGGATTAATTTGCTAGAGCAGTCCTCTATTTACTCGCTAGACCACTTATTTATAGCAAACAATATAAGTCAGGAACAGCTAGATGGAAGACATACATAGGGTAAGGTATGGAAGGGGCACCGGCTTCCGTGCCCTCTCCAGACATGCCATCTCTTTAAATTTTCACATGTTCAATAACCCAGGAGAAATTTGAAGAATGCTCTTCTTGGGATTCTGTAAAGACTTCATTACAGCATGCTTAATTTACTCATTGGCCTTTAGCAATTAGTTTACTCACCCCACCCCATTCTCCTGTCCCAGAAAATCAGAGGCAGCACTGAAAGTCCCACCCTCTAGTCCTGTTGGTTTCCCCTGTAAACAGCCACCACCACCTTAGGGGCTTCCCAAAAGTCACATCATGCACATAACAAGAGACACCTTTATCACTCTCCACACTTAGAAGATTCAAGGTTTGGGGGAGTTCTGAGCTAGGAAGTGAGGAGGAAGACCAAATATGCACACATAATATCACAGAAGGTGAATAGGGAGACAGAGAGGGAACAGGCTTCACCAGCACCCCAAGAATGCCCAGTCCTGCAACCCTGGCAGGAAGCACACTTAGACAAAAGGAACTCCAGCATCTGTGAAGAGGAGAGAGAAGGTTCCCAGTAGGAATGGAGTGACAACTTCTCTCTTATCTACTGCAAGGAAATCACCAAACAACTGCCACAGTTTTGTAGCTTAAGGAAGGAGAAATTTCTCAGTTGCCTGACCACGGCTCTGAGGTTTAGACATACAATCAGGAATTCTTCAGCCTTCCAGTGTTTCCAGGTGTGGAGCCAGAAAAGGGATAATTCCTTTGTTCCCACAAATCTTTTTCTGTTTCCAGGCTGGGAGACCTGGCCACGGATATAGGCCACTAATTCACAACTTTTAGTGTTCATTGGAACCACATGGGGGCTTTTCCCAAAATATTACTGACAGAGTCCTCCCTCAAACTACTGAATACAATATCCAAGGGCATTGTATCCAAGGGTCTGGATGTGGGATCTGGAGATGAGTACCTTTAAAAATCTCTCTGTTGAATTCTGTTACCTGTCAAAGATTGGAAGAAAAAAAAAACCAAACAAACCTGGCCTGCCTATCTTTACAGTTGAATAAAACTCAGAATCAATTGAGGTGCTGAAGTTAGGTATTACAGTCTTTGGTCACAAGTCTGATACAAGAGGATCAAATCCATGTCTTAGCTCATCAGTGATGGACTGATCAAGAGTACAATGCCTAGCCTCACTGCAGTTTCTGTTCCTGCCTCTAAAAAGTTATATGGTCTGGGCATCTTTTTAACTTGTCATTGTGTTAAACAGTTACAGCTGATCTGTCTAACTCCTAACCATTTGGACTGAGTTCCTGTGAACATATGAGCATTAGAAAAACGAAAGTTTGAATAATTTGCAGGTGGACTATTAACAATTAGAAAACCATAATTCACAGTCTGGCTATTCATTTAACACCATTAAAAAAACTAATGCATTTCTTAGTAAATAAAAATCCAGAGCCCATAAAATATGATTTGTTTTCATTTAGAAAATGCAGGAAGTAGATTATATCCAGTTAAGAATAATTTACGGCCAAGACACTTTCAAACAAGAGGCCAGTCTAAGTCAAAATATTGTATTACAATTAATGAAAATATCAATAACAAAAATGCAATCATTCTCTTTTTTTTTTTTGTGGGACCCTCACCGGTGACCAGGGATCGAACTGGTGTTACAGAGGCTGCGGGCAGCCTCGCAATCCAGTGCTCAACTGCAGTGCCACGAGGGGAGGCCCCCAAAAATGCAATCATTCTTATCATGTTTTCAGGTTCCTTTTATTTTACTATTGCCATGGTACTAATAAATTGCAGACAGGAAGAAAAAAAGGTTACTTGGGATTGATGTTGTATGATATTTTTTATTTAGCCACTGTCTTTTTGAAATACTGATTTTCATCTATGCCGAGTCTTTTGATATAGATCAGTTAAATTTGAATGGACAGAGTCTTCCCATCCAGTTTGGCTTATCCTAGCAGCAAGAATGGAGTGTGCTTTTTTCCCCTTCAATAGTTTATAAAGAGACCATATAAAACTGCCCGTTACTTTTTTTAGACATAGTGAGTTTATTACTGAAAAATTGCACACCCTCAAATCTCCTTATCTTTTTGCATGTAAATGAAACTCTTTGCAAATAAATATATATGGCAGGAAAAATCAACAAATACTAATGTTCAAACCCCAAGGGGGCAGCCTGCACACAGATGAAAATATGACCGCACACATACACAGTTTTTGTTGCATGACACCGGGCAAGAGGAGAAAAACAAAGTCTGCATAAAAGAGTTCACTCAGAGACAAAAAGATCCATTCACGTGGATCCAAACTCATATGTAAACTCAAAAAAGTCAGTCGAAATCCTGACATTGTTTCAAACCGCAACACAGATTAACAGAGCATAAACCACAGTAAATTTACATTTACTTAATAATACATATCACCAACTTTGCAGTCAGATGTTGAGGCAGCAAGCAAAACAAGTTATTTTTAGGAGTCTAGCCAAGGACCATTTGCTCATTCATGAGTGTGCTCTAAGGCCAAAACCAAAATATCAAGACAGGCCATTTTCTGGGCAGTAGCTGCAGGGTCAAACAGCCTCACAAGGAAAGTGTCATTGACCACACAGGGAACTAGATGAGAGACAACGTGTGGTTAATGCAGGCCTGTTACTGTTATGAGATAAACAACCACAAGTGTGAACACTGATGGTGGTCAGAGCATTTTCTATTCAAAGAATGGCTTACGTTTCGGTTTGACTAAAGACTTGGCCAAGGAATTTAAAGTGCAAAATTTATCTGAAGACTAATTTGTTCCTGAGGAAAGAGGTTTAGGTAAGGGCCAAACAGTAACAGCAAGTACATTTAAAAATGGAAATGCAATTTAGTTGGTTCCTATTGTTTCCTAACTGCTATGAGGGCAACAAAATCATAGTTTCCAGTTCTTATCAAGACAAATTACTGCAAGTCAAAAGTTATCTCAGGCTTATAGAATGCCTTTTGGATGTGATAGAACTAGGGCAGCTTGGGAAAGAAAAGCAATTAGAAATGCCTCATGAAGTTAAGGTTACAGAAAACCTCAGTCATCCATTTCTTTGTTCCAGATTTTGTTGAACTCCTTCCACAAGGCATGTACATACCAGGTGTGAGGGACACTAAAACATATGCAGCATCGTCCTTGCTTCATTCATACTGTCATTGACGGATCATCATCATCATCATCACCACTCCCATGTAAACAAAATTGCACAGACAAATACAGTTCCTTGCATTTCCCCTAAGAGAAAAGGACTACAACATCTATCTGCTTGTTACTGCAAGGAGTACAGCAGAAACAGGATTGCTGGCCCCACTTTCCCTTGAGGGGAGCTGCATGATCTTTTCTGTTTGGTGGCCTATTGAATCTTATAAGTTAAGCTCCACCCTCCAGTTGTCTTTTCCCTTGCCAGGACAGGCAAGGAGGCCTCACAAGACCCGCAAGATCCAGCCTTGGTTGTTGAGTTACAGTTTGATGGACAGATACCTGGGAGGGTCACCCAGGGTAATTTCCTTAGTGAGAATTAGACCTCAGTGGTGGTAAGTCACTGTGAGTAGGAATGTAATATAACCTATACTCTCTACTACCATTAATTTATATTTTGCTTAGAACTTTTTAGAGACAAGAAATCACATGTTCTATAGAGTTGGGAGGAATTTTATGGATTTATAATAGATGATCCAATGCAGATACATCTAGTGCTGCTTTAAGATAGGGACGATTGTAAGCTTCATTTTATAGGTAAGAGGGTTACCTCTTTAAAGAGGGTACAGGAGGGTTAAAGAACTTGATGAAGTTATGTGACTGAGAAGGAATCGTCTAACTGCTAAGAGTCAATATGCTTAATCTCTATACCACATTCCCTAATAAACATTGGGTTTATAGTAGGTTAATACATAGTACACACAAGAAAGGCACTTAAAACAAATAAAAATGAAAAGAAATCAACTTCTCCCCATGTTTTCTCTCAGTCAATCCCAGCCACACCCAGGATGCTAGGCCATGATAGCAGCTATCCCAATTATGCCTGGCTAGCTTCGTGGGGCACCAGATACACCCAGGGATTCCAGCTTCTGCATGTCCATA